GTATATATATGTATATATTTAACATTGTTATGATTTAGTTTTGATAAATAAAAGTGGTGGCTACACCACAAAGAGAGAAAAGTGTATCAACCAAGTCAGTAGCTGTGTATTCACACAGATTGTAGACGTACAAAAATAATATATAAAAGGCCACACTTAATCCGTGCAGTGTCTATTGTCCCGCCAATTCTAGACATATGCATGGGAGTATTGGTAATGGTAGGATATTTTTAGAGCGCCCTCCACCTCCACAATAAAATAGCTCACACTAGTCAGACCGCAAAATATTAATACTGAAAAACAGGAAAAACTTAAATTACGTACTCGCGCGAATAAGCACCTCGTTCGAATAAGCGCCCCTCGATTCCCCCAAAAATTCAATCATAAAGTACAGTACATTGCATCACCAACTTCATTTTCTGCATCAACTATTCGCACTATCATAGCATTGTCGGTCGGTGAGTCCATCTATCTGTCTATCAGTCTACATTAAGTTTAACATGGTTTTCAGTGTTAATGCATCTTTAGAATCCAGTTCTTGTTTTATTGCTACCCGGCCTTTTTTGCTTTAGAACTACAGTATTTAATATCTAAACATTAAAATACTGTATGGCCATTTTCAGTCAAAATAAACTGACTTCATCTCTCTCGTATCTAAGCAAGAAACCCTGCAATGGTCCTGCTAATCTGAATTGGCAGATGACCAACACGCTTACCACCACCACCACTAATTTCATCTGCTGTTGTGTAAACCCATAACATTTTTGTCATGAGACGTGTTTTCTCGATGATTATCTTTTTTCAACAAAACCATTCGTTTATCTTCGATTAAAAAAAAGGTGCTCCTTCAATTTTCCAATTTTCCATAAGCATCTCTTAAATTTTCATATACTTCCATAAGCGCCACTCTGTTTTCATAAGCGCCCCGTTTGAATAAGCGCCTCTCAAAAAGAGCCAAAAATATTCTAAGCGCCCGGACGCTTATTTGCGCGAGTAAGGTAAATATAATTTAAAAGAAATAAAACAAACAAACAAGCCTTTCAGGTATACAATAAAGTGGGACAGCTGCCTAAAATTTCATTGACAATATGAAAATGACAAAATGCGGTTGTCTTTGAACTTCACTTTTGCAAGTGTGTATGAACCCAGACATTAATTTAATATAAAAAAGTTATTATATTTAGTGAAAGAATTCGATACTAGGCCTGGATAGATCATAATGGTATCAGTTGAAATAAAAAGAAAAAAATTCACCTCCCAACAATCATCTTGTAAACTTCGAAGATAAAATCAATGAACAATCCATTTAAAATATCTGTTTTGCATAGACAAGTGCCTTTACACCGACGTTGTTATGAAGTAGTTTAATCACCCGCTTTTTAACGTTTCCTGAATCGTTATGATTTACAGGTTTCTGAATGTTTACAAGATGACCAAGTATCAGTTTGTTTTGCATGTCTATTACACAATGTCACTCACAAAATACATGTCGTAAAATTTGATAACAGGTGGACCACTGAAATCGGTTGTAAACATTTATTCAGGGGACAGTTAAATTACTGTTCCATGTTTTATGTAGATTCATACATCGATTTTGTTTTCAGTTGCTTGTTTTTATTATTATAGCTGTTCATTACGCTGGACTTTTTAAAATTATGCTGTATAAAGCTCCCAAGTTTAATTATCACGAAAATTCTGGGTAAACGATTAAGTCTTTTACCAACCGGCTAATATCCATTGTGATTTTTACAATAGGTGTATACTGCGCCGTGTTGGGAGTTAACGACACTGCTAAAAATACTCGCTACGCACGACGCTGCTTTATTTTTGACGACCAAAGCGAAATATCGATCGTAAATGACAAACCTATAGAGCTAGTGGTTGATGGAGAAAAGCTCAATCTGCTGGAATCGGAGGTGTGGACTACTGGTGATAAAAATGTAAGGTTAAATAATGGAATGAATAGTAAGATGTATGACAATGAAGGGGATGATGATGATGATGCATGATACTAATAATGATGATTTTTCTTGTAATGATCAGGGTGATTATTATGTGATGACAATGTGATTCTGATAATTATGATATGATGATGTTGTTGGCAGTGATAGTGATGATGATGGACATTTATTTTTATAAATAACATTCTTGATCGATTGAAATCGAATTTTCTAAATGTAGAGTTGATGTTTCATCTATTGATCATTCAGGAAATAAATCTACTCTTATTATTATTTTATCAGATAAGCGTATCATGGCAGGGTCATTTTGTGAACCAGCTACATATGGACGAAAAATTATTACTCGCCATTGAACCAGATAATAGCGTCATTAATGAAGATTATGATTCTGAGGCTGCTCCAGCTGGTCGCCCCCTATCGGCCATTGATAATCGCAATGGAATTGTTAAGTTTGAAGTTGGAGTCGGTAAAGATAGTGTAGGCGGAGCAACATTTCCCTCGTTTCAGCCCAATTGGATAGCTTTACAGAGTGATCTGGTATCTTGATCAAAATACATTACTATATTATGAAATAGTATATTTTAATTATGTTAAGAATTTTATTTGAAATTGTGTGCTAAATTACGAAATGACAAAAATGAGCAATAGTAAAATTTAGAGGTAACAGATAAAGTATCTTGCCATTTTTCAGGGCGAAATGTTCGTTGATCAATTAGATAATGCAGAGGACGCCGAAACTTATGGATTTTGGGTTCGGGCGACTGATGTAGTTGGAAACACAAAGACAGATTTTGTATCAATCCACATTGATTTTACGCCACCCCAAATTGATGAATTTGCAGTGAGGAATGGCATGTAAGTAAAACATATTATGGTTTAAACATGGAGGAAAAAAAAACAATTGTAATCAATTTATATTCATGTGAACCTTACTTAACACTGAATATTTTGTGAATATAGTGCACGCGTGACTGCGTACGATCGACAAAGTGGAATCATGAGTGTTCGTTGGCAGATGATTTCCAAAAAAGATGAAACCATTTTATCAGAAGGCTACGAAACTGATTTAATAGTCGTAAGTAAAACATTTAATCAAGACTCACTTTTAATGGAGAATGAATGAATCATTGTGATTAAATACAGCTGAAAATGGAATATTCTGTAGTCACACATTGTTGCGGACAAACAGGTGCCAAGTTGGGAAACGCTATTGGCGTGGTTGCTTACGTTTACTGAATGCAGAAAATTTTAGCTTTATTTCTAAATGTTATCATTTTCAGTTTAGAAAAGCAAATTCAACTGGTAAATGATTACTATATCAAACACATTTTATGTTTTATTTGATTTGGGGATATTTCGTACGCACAGAATGTTACTAATCATGACTAATTTATTTCCGAATTTACTCTACGTTTAACCGACATTAAAGGGAAAATTGATTCAATTCCAAAACTTAAATACTATATTACGTTTTAAAACAACCTACCTCAATGTTGATACCTATTTATTACACCTTAACTTGAAATATAGACGGATTCTGACATAACTTCGTCTAGGTATCCTCAAACTTGAAATTGAAACTGGTAAATGGATCAAATCAGATTGAAATAATAGAAAATGCAAATTTTGCTCATTTAATTTAGATGAAAATGAATACCATTTTACATTGATTTGCCCATTTTATTGAAACATTAGAAATACTTTCATACCTGCATATTAGTTCAAGTCCGTCTATATTCAAATTCAGTCTTTTAATATCCACCAGTGCTCCCAATATTATTATGATTTATCTAAATGTTTATATTTATCATTTAAACGTACAAACGATTATATTGCTTTTTAATTTGATGTCAACCTATATTTATATGGGCCAGAGGCCATTGTGTAAAAAGAACAAATAAATGTCCTTGGGCCAAGGAACGAACGAACACGCTTTTTATCAGGTCCATTTTGAAACAACTGCAACGTCTCGCAACTTTTCAATGAGGACTTCCAGCGGCCTAACCTGAGCAACTGGCTTGTGGAGCACTGAGCAGTGGATGGCGCCGCTAGATCTTTGTTATAGCAGCACCAGGAAACAGATACGATCTTTTGCTAATTATTGTATATAAACATTGAAACAGATTGTTAATATCAACATTTCGTTTTTCTTCAGTTTTTAAATATCTGGGGCGGATGGAGGATTTGGCTGTAGGCAGTAGCCCTACGTGCAAAAACTGAAGAAATAATACCTGTAGATGGCCGGAAATGACACATTTATAATAGTAAAATTCATCATCATCATATCACTATATCATTATATAGTAAAAATGAAGCGCCAACAAATTTTCATATTTTTTTTTCTCATGATCTTTAATCAGCTATTTCCGGCAACCACGGAGATCTAACTGTCTCTTATACACATCTAGATGTGTATAAGAGACAGATGTGAACCTTACTTAACACTGAATATTTTGTGAATATAGTGCACGCGTGACTGCGTACGATCGACAAAGTGGAATCATGAGTGTTCGTTGGCAGATGATTTCCAAAAAAGATGAAACCATTTTATCAGAAGGCTACGAAACTGATTTAATAGTCGTAAGTAAAACATTTAATCAAGACTCACTTTTAATGGAGAATGAATGAATCATTGTGATTAAATACAGCTGAAAATGGAATATTCTGTAGTCACACATTGTTGCGGACAAACAGGTGCCAAGTTGGGAAACGCTATTGGCGTGGTTGCTTACGTTTACTGAATGCAGAAAATTTTAGCTTTATTTCTAAATGTTATCATTTTTAACTTAGAAAAACAAATTCAAATGGTAAATATTGGGCTTATTATATCAAACACAGTTTATGTTCTACTGGATTTGGGGATATTTAGTACGCACAGAATGCTATTAATCATGACGAATTTATTTCCGAATTTACTTTACGTTTAACCGGCATTGAACCTCATCGACTCCAAGAGAAAATTGCTTTACATCCAAAGCATTAATACTATATAAAAAAATAACTATAATGTTGATACCTATTTATTACATCTTGAAAACTTGAAATATAGACGGATTCTGACTAAACTTCGTCTAGGTATCTTCAAACTTGAAATTGAAACTAATAAATGGATCAAAGGAGATCGAAATAATATAAAAATGAAAATTTTACTCCTAAAACTTAGATGAAGATGAATACCATTTTCTCTAGATTTCCTGAAATGGCAATCCTATGTACAAAATATCTGAATGTTTTCATTATGTACAAAACAAAACTCCGAAAACCATAACAGCTTTTGATCAATTCAAGCAATCTAAAATATGCTTAACACGCCAACAATAGAAGTAAGCATCGAGCTGCTATATGGGAGCTGTTTTAAGGGATAAATTATTTGATGTTAGGTCTAGTTGTATTTTCTGTGTAATTAAGGTAAACAATAACGAATAAGCCTATCGGTCGAGTTTCTTGCATTATAATATGAATCATTAGAAGGCACTGTTAATAATATTCCCACAATTAAGTAAATTCCTATGAACTTCAACTTCAGGAGAGCAAGGGGCATGCATATTCAGCGATAGTCAGATAAATGATAAGAAGGGCACTCATATAAGATCTATTTTTGGTACCGTATCCCTTAATCACTATATTATTTTCCAAATTTCTGCGTAGAGGGTTTCTTTTGAAACTTGCGGCCCGGTTCTGAATACCTAGAAAGCCACAAATCTAAATCAAAGAACCCAGAACATTTGTTTTATATACGCCTTTTATCAGGTCTATTTTGAAACAACTGCAACGTCTCGCAACTTTTCAATGAGGACTTCCAGCGGCCTAACCTGAGCAACTGGCTAGTGGAGCACTGAGCAGTGGATGGCGCCGCTAGATCTTTGTTATAGCAGCACCAGAAAACAGATACGATCTTTTGCTAATTATTGTATATAAACATTGAAACAGATTGTTAATATCAACATTTCGTTTTTCTTCAGTTTTTTAATATCTGGGGCGGATGGAGAATTTGGCTGTAGGCAGTAGCCCTACGTGCAAATATTGAAGAAATAATACCTGTAGATGGCCGGAAATGACACATTTATAATAGTAAAATTCATCATCATCATATCACTATATCATTATATAGTCAAAATGAAGCGCCAACAAATTTTCATATTTTTTTTTCTCATGATCTTTAATCAGCTATTTCCGGCAACCACGGAGATCTAATGTGTGATGTACGGTACCATAGAAAATACAACTTAAAAACATTTATTTGATGTATTTACTTTACCTACTTCAAAACTTGAGTCCATACGCATCTCAGCCCAACCACAGTTGTGGCTGTGTTGGTAAAATTTTGGAAAATTCTACCTCTAGATTGCCGGATATGACACACTTACATGTAAAATTCATTATTATCGATATAAAAATGACTGTGATGTACCATAGAAACTAAAACTTTATTGTCTTTGATGTATTTACTTTGCGTTCATGTGCCGAAAACCAATTTTATCTTTGCACGCTTTTTGTCATACTTCTCAAATTATAATAAAGGCAAGCGCGCTCGAATCGTGTATGATAGGTAATTCAGATGTTTGTGGGCAGAGTATACCGGTATCTTGCTATAAAATAAAATGTACCCTGGCTGTATGCCTACCGCGCTCTTTCGTTAAAAACCTGAGTCATTTATGCATTTATTTCAACAATTTCCAGGCATACCTTCTTGATTCCCGAAAAGTGAGAGGGGACCAAGCCTTTCTCCTTAAAAATATGTGGGGGAGGGGACGTGTTTTCCTTCCCCAGTGATCTGCGCCCATGGGTCCGTGAAGATGGGTACCTTAAAAATCTTACCAATGATTCATTACAATATAATACAACAATTATTTTTCTTAATAGAATTTAGGGGGGTGCAACCGCACTCTCCTCCTGCATCCGCCCAGAATATTGTGTGTTCGTTGGTAATTTAGTCTTATCGTTTAATTAATCCATGATGGTAATTACGTACCACGAAATGTTAGGCCTTTAGATGTCCCCCAGTGGTAGTTGCCAGGTTCTCGGAAATGTTCATTTAAATGGCGTTTAGGTTGAGAAGAATGATTTCATGATAATTCCTAACAGAAAACTTGCACTAAAAGCAGTAGACAAACCTTATCTGGGAGGCCGCTATCCATTCGTATTACTTCTCCATTAACAAAATGTGTTTGCATAATACTTCATTACCAATATGAATTTGATGGAACAATAAATCAATTATAATTATTAATAATATAATCTTTTTTAGACTGGCGACTGTGTTCCTACCGATTGTTATTGTATACTCGTCAATAAGTTTTGTTACAAGTTGCAATTAGACATAACCCCTACACTTGATCAAAGTGATCAAGAATTGGGTACTACTGCAACTTTAAGGGTGACATTAAAAAACAATGCTTTACTAAACATCTCACAGGATATAGAGGTACGTATGACTATGAAATTGGAAAATAAAAGTTAAAATAATAAAATTATATAAAATGATTTTCTAAAACAATCATCAATATAATTATACAAATTGCAGGTCCAGGCCTTATACATCTTTCAAAGAAGACAGTAAATCAGCAAAAACTGTTTTGACATTTATTTAATTAGATAACTTAATAGGGGCCTACTTAATAATATCGTTGTTTATATTTAAAAAAAATATATTTATACACTATTTTCAACTAGGTTGCTGTAGCCTCTTTCAGTGGTACCAACGATGCTCTGGAAACAAAAACAGAAGACAACGGTTTGGGGACTGGAGTATTAATCGGCATTATAGCAGCGGTTGTAGTGTTTGTGGTTCTATGGTTGATAATTGTCGCACTGGTAATGCAAAGGCGAAATAGGCGTGATGTAAGTTTATCATAACAGTTTATAAATGTGAAGTTCAACGATTTTCATTTTAAATCATCAGTTTAGAAAAATTTCATGTAATCGATTTGTAATTATATTTGCTTATTTTTAATATTTAATTATACGATTATCAATTCTGTTTTAAAAAAAATATGTAAGCACAAATAATATTAATAAATTATTAGAAAACTTTGAAAGAACTGTCGATATCCAATATTGAGTTATTTGGAGACACTTTTTCCAATCAGTAAGCGAAACATTAAAAAAGGCAAATCCTATGCCTATCTGTTATATAGTCCAGGTGGATTTTTAAGTAGTTAAGACGCTTGGCTATCATACTAATAAAAAAAATCCCGACAAAAAAGGCTTTAAATTCACTCAGCCTTATATTAGTACCTGGATGAAAATAATTTGGGAGGTTAATAAGCGAGGTGGAACGAACTGGCCACCCTCATACACAATATTTTCAAATGTTTATTATTTTTATTTATATTATCATTTATTTAAAACCGAATTTTTTTTAAGCAATTTTAATAAATATTGCAGTTATGTTTCATTAATATTTTTACTTTAATGATGACATTACTATAATAATAATAATTAATATTTATGATTATAACTACCTTTAATCTATTTATAGGCCTACCAATGTTTTTTTATCATTATAGCTATGCATTATTTTCTTACATTTCAGCCTGAAACGTTTGGAGATGACATTGGACATCAAAACCCATGCTACACCAATGTAAGGCAACGATGAAACAGCATGTTTACATAAATTATTATTTTCTTTTGGTGTAAGACTAAAACACTTTCGCTTTATATACTTCTTTGATACAAATTTTGTTTTACCCTTTAGGAGGTAACTGTTAATACTTACACAGCTCCACATCACCCTCCGCCTGCATATACACCAACGTCTAGGCCACTACCGATGACCGAGAAACCAAAGAAGAAAGAGATAATGGAAGACGAGTATGCTTCTCCATTTGCACTAACTGTTTCACCAGGTACCGTAGCCATTATGAGAATAATTTCCTACTGCAAATAACAGACTTATAACAGATTAACAAATAATATGTAATTACGTATGAAATATCTCCCATATATTTGAATATATTGCATATAGTATACACATTATTCAACTTTTTTTAATCAGTTGTATTTTAGTTGTAATTGATTTTTGTCTTTATTGCCAGAGGAAAACAAATTCCCAGTTGTTTTATTGAACAATAAATGTTATTTAATTGAAGTCATCAGTTGATAAACCAATAATTTAGTAGACTTATCTACGTTGCATCTATGTTCTCAGTAGCCTCGATCACACGAATGACGTAATGGTGCAGTGTCGTCATCCATCATGCCTCTGTGACTAGTAGTACCATCTATCTTCTTGTTATCAGCTTTTAGCTGGTTCCCTTCCCCTTGCGGATATTTGGGTGTTAAGTAAGTAGTCGTACTGCAAATGTGGCTGAATTCATGTCAACAAGAAGATAGATGGATGACGACACTACACCTTTTGCGTGATCACAGCTTTTGAAACAGTAGCTGAAACGTAGCAAGTCAACAAAATTGTTGGTTCCTTAAGAGAAAATTTCCATTAATTTTTTTCTGAAACCAGATGAATTATTTGAGAATAAATGTAATGTGATGATATCTTATTTTATTATATATGATAAAATTATGGTAGACAGTGCTCGAATATATACATAAAAAGCAAAATACTGAAAATAACAATGCAATGTAATACTGTATATAATCCAAACAAATATATGGTGGGTTGTGGAAAATATTATAATTCCAATACCTTTTCTACAAACTCTACCAAAATTTTGTATAGGGTTGGTTTACTGTATTTACTTATAATGAGACGGTATTCTAAACTAAAATGCAGTAAATAATATCGTACTCTATAATTTGCGAAACACGTTGAATATTAATGTTAATAAGAACTAAAAATTTGTTTTATTATTAAACCATCAGCTTATTTGTAGATAATGTAATTCTTCGACCTGCACCTAATTTTAAAAGTTTAAATAGGCCTATATTGTAATGCTTAAGTTTTAAAGTTATATAATAGGCTATAATGCATGTAATTAAATGCTTTATTGAGATTTATTTGTATGTTATGTTATACCGATTTTGAGGCTGTCTCTTATTCTTGAAGGAAATATTACAGTGAGTGAGATTCATCCGCGTGATATACACAACGAGGGTGTAATTGTTGAAGGAAACCATTCCCAGGTGTATCTAGGTAGTGTTCCTAGCCTTGGTCTGACAAACGTCGCAGTCAAGACTCTAAAAGGTAAGATA